GGGCCTTTTATAGGGTTTTGGCAAAAGGGGGGGGGGATACCAAAGATACATTTTGGTTGGTTCAAGGAGCCCGCACACGCCAACATAATTTTAAACTGATTGGATGTATAAGATGCAGCCCTGGAAGTTTCTTATTGGTAGGTGCTATTCTCAGGGCTGTGGAATGTGCTGACTGTTATCTGTGGGGCCAGGAGTCTCCGTTTTTACCTTATAGGGCAGTTTTCATGCCCGGGCTTGCTTAATCTATAGTTTCCTGGAAGGGGGGGGATAGCAGGCGGGGGTCAGGGCATGTCTAGGCATGTCTAAAGCAGCAGCCAAGCATTTTACAGAAGCTAAAAGAGCTGGGGTCTGGAGGGATTGGGGGGTAGCGGGTGAATGAAGAGGGTCTCAGGGTCCTACAGGACTTTCTAAAAAGCACCCATCAAGGAATCAAACTGGAAATCAACAACGCAAGTCAAGAAGTTATCTTCAAATATTTGGAAATTAAACTGCACACTCCTAAGGAAACAACAAACTTCTAATCCAAAGTCAAGGACAAAGTCTAAAAGGAAACAATGACAGGAATTCGTGAAAATGGAAACAACAGCAGTCAACACATTAGGAATGAAGAAAACAAAACCCAGAGTCTCTACCTCGAGAAATTAGAGCAAAATAAATCAAACTAAGCAGAAAGAAGGAAATACAAATAAGGACATGAACCGATGAAAACAGCAACAATGGCAGGAAGAAATATGTCTATTTCTTCAATGAAACCAAAAGCTGATTCCTAATAAAAGTTAATAAAGCTGAATGAAACTTGCAAATCACCCACATCATTTTTTGTGTGCCAATGGATGCAAGAACCTACACGTGATGAAATTGGATGTAAGTAAAGGTAGATCAGTGAATGCAAATCGGGGGAGAAAACAGCACGGACTGTCTGTCAGTAGCAGTGTCCTGGCTGGGATGTTCTTCTACAGCTTTCCGTATGAAGTCATTGAGGGAGACTGAGTAAAGGGCATGTCGGATCTCTATTATTTCTTACAACTGTACACTGTACAAAATTTAAATTTCAGTTAAAAAAAGCAAAAGAGGGTCAGAGACAGCTCAGTGGGAAAGTGCTTGCTATGCAAGTCTATTGACCCTGGAGCCCACGTAAAAGTGGAAGGAGAGCACCTACCCCCAGATTGCCCTCTGATCTCCATACACACAACATGACAGGTGTTCACACAAGCACATGTATGTGCACGTGCACACACACACAATTTTAAAAAGTTAAAAACTGAAAGCCAGACATGGGTTAGGGTTAGTTCATGCTAGCAATCCCAGAACTCAGGAGGCTGAGACAGGAGGATAAAGAGTTTGAGACCAACCTGGTCTACATAGATCCTGTCTCAAAAAAAATTCCTTTAGCTTTAATTTTTTAAAGTTTTACTAGACAATTAGCAACTCACACAATCACTGTCAGAGGAACATTTACTAGACTCTTAGGGAATGCAGAAATGATTCCTACCTCTTCAGTGTGTATAAAGTTGAATTCATACATCCAACATGACCAAAACCAAAAACTATTCCCTTTTCTTTGCTCGATTATAAATATTATAGCATGCCCACACATGCATTTGTTTACATATTTATATGCATACAATATATGCATATCAACTACATGTGGCTAGAAACTACATATGAAGAAAACAGGATTTTTTTTTTGAGATTGGGTGACCTCATGTGATATACATTCTAGATCCATCCATTTTGCTGTAAGTTTTTATTTCATTTTTCCTTAGAGCTGAATGTTATTCCATTGTGTATAATATCTGAGATATATATATATTTTTTTTTTCATTGTCTGTTCATCTGTTGATGGGCAACTAAGTTGGTTCCATTTCCTTGCAATAATGAATAAAGCACCAATAAACATGGAGGTACAATATTTCCATAGTAAGGTGTGGGGTTCTTTGGGTATATTCCCAGGAGTGGGGTAGGTGGGTCATATGGCAGTTCTAGTGGTAATCTTTTGAGAACCTTTCAAACTGATGCCCAGAATGGCTGTACTAACTTGCACTCCCACCAGCAGTGAGGTTCCTCTTTATCCACATCCTCTCCAACATTTGTTATCAGATTTCTTGATAATAGGCACCTAATGGGTTAAAAAAAAGAAAAGTAGTTTTAATTTGAATTTCCCTGATGATTAGGGATGTTGAACAGTTTTTAAAATAATTATTGGCCATTTGTATTTCTTTTTATGAAAGCTGCTTATTGGCCCATTTGTTGATTGGTAATTTCATTTCCTTGGTATTTAATTTTTGCTGTTCTTTGTATATTCTGGATATTAGTCCCTTGTCTGATGTATAGCTGGTAAAGATCTCCCATTCTGTGGGCTCTGTGTACTCTGCTGATAATTTCCTTTGCTGTACAGAAACTTTTTAATGTCATATACTCCAATCTGTTGATACTTGGGACTAATTTCCATCCCTACCCCAATTTCCTGAAGAGTATTCCTTGTATTTTCATCTAGGAGTTTCAGATTTCAAATTAAAGTCTTTGATGCATTTCAAATTGATTTTGGTACAAGATGAAACTTGTGAATCTAATTCTTCTTCCAACATCAAATTTCACATAACTGGAAAAAAAAATTCCTTTTTAAAATAGTTGTTAGCCATCTGTAAGCTGCCTATTCAATTTGTTGGCGTATTTGGTGATTGGTAATTTTACATCCTTGGTATTTGATTTTTCTGGATATTAGTCCCTTGTCTGATGTATAGCTGGTAAAGATCTCCCATTCTGTGGGCTCTGTGTACTCTGCTGATAATTTCCTTTGCTGTACAGAAACTTTTTAATGTCATA